ATGTATTTTATGATAAATCATCAAATTATGTTATACAAGATAAAAACTAAGGCTGTCACTATAAAAATAAACAAAAACAACTAATACACTTTAGTAAATACATAATAAATCTAAATATTGTATTTGACTTGATCTGAATTCAAAGTTTTCATTGTTTTCCACCATTACTTGTTAGTTTCAATAGCATAGTGAAATTAGGAAGTATCCAAGAATACTCTTTCTCTGATCTTTTCATATTTTAGAATAATGAAATGAAGATGGAAGAGTCATCACTTCTTGTGCAATAAGTAGAAGATTAAGCATTCCCAAGCTTATGTACAATAATTGTATTTTTTAAAATTTTTTAAAAAGATTATTTATTTGAAAGTCAGAGTTACAGAGATGCAGAGGCAGAGGCAGAGAGAGAGAGAGAGAGAGAGAGAAGTCTTCCATCCTCTGGTTCACTCCCTAAATGGCTGCAACAGCAGAAGCTATACCAATCTGAGGCCAGGAGCCAGGGCCTTCTTCTAGGTCTCCCTCGTGGGTGCAGGGTCCCAAGGACTTGGCCCATCTCCTACTGCTTTCCCAGGCCATAGCAGAGAGTTGGATCAGAAGTGGATCAGCTGGGTCTTGAACTAGTACCCATATGGGATGCTGGCATTGCAGGTAGTGGCTTTACCTGCTATGCAACAGTGCCGGCCCCCAAACTTAATATTCTTAATTTTTAAAAACTTTTCTGTAAAAAATTATGTACTCCCAAGCCCCACTGCCTGTCATTGTAGCATGAAGTCATAGGAACTCCAATGATTCCAGATGGTAATTTGATCAAAAGCAAAGAAATTCCTTGATATTGAATGAGAGGATTTGTATGGAAGAGAAACAGTTAAGAAGCAGAGGAAATATTGAATGATTTTAGGCAAAATAAAGGATTTCAACTATATGAGAGAAATTCATTTAGCAAATGTAGGATCCCATCAATTAACTCACTCTCTGTATTGTTGAATATATTTCTTTCCATCAGACATCTTTTTGACGTGATAGATGATGATTAATCTGAAACATCAGGGAGTTGGCTCACTAATAGAGCATATCATTGGGCTATTTTGACTTCTCAAGTGGAAATTTCGTACTTTTTAAAGATTTATTTATTTATTTATTTATTTGAAAGGCAGAGTTAAAGAGAGGCAGAACCAGAGAAGGAGAGAGAGAGTTCTTCCATCTGCTGGTTTCATTCCCCAAATGGCCAAAATGGCCATAGCTGCACTAATCCGAAGCTAAGAGCCAGGAGCTTTGTCTAGATCTCCTGTGTGGGTGCAGGGGCCCATACGTCTGGACCATCCTCTACTGCTTTCCTAGGCCAAAGCAGAGAGCTGGATCAGAAGTAGAGCAGACAGGATTTGAACAGGCACCCATACGGATGCCAGCACTACAGGCAGCAGCTTTACCCGCTATGGCACAGCGCTAACCCCCTGTGTATTTTTTAGTACAACAAAATGTCTAATAAAGTTAGAGTTAAAGGAATCAAAAATGAGAGGGATTTTTGCCTTTAATTGCTTGTTAATTTCATGTTTATCTTCAATGCACAGAAATGTTCAATTTTAAAAAGATGGACTTTAAGTATTCCATCAAAATGCTTTTTCCCCTCATATTCATACATCAAATATTCCTTTTTCACTGATATATTTTTATAGATAAGAACAATAGTCTCTATAGTCAGAGAAATAAATGAAAATATCTTTGATAGATCCATTACAATAACATTCTTTGATGAGTTCCAAATTTACATTCTTGAAAATTTACCAAAAGGGTTTGACAGGTATTCTTTCTGCTTTGATATTGTTGATAGAGGATTCTATCCAACACAGATTTTATTTGAAATGATAGGTTATGTAAGCATTTTCAAATTCAGTCAAGTCTGTGGCCTTTTGAAGAGAAGACACATATTCTTGATTTTCTTTTCAGGATTAAGTCCGGTGTTGTCAAGGATGGAGAACCTGTACAAAAATCTGTGAGACTCTGTAGACAGATACTTCATAGGCTCACACAGAATCACCACAATACCTTCACAACAGTTCATGCTTATAAAAAACATACAGTAAACAAATATATGGGAAAAGTTGGAGGGGCCAGCATTGTGGCACAGCAGTTTAAGTTGCCACCTACAACATTGGCATCCCATGTAAGTACCAGTTTAAGTCCTGACTGCTTGACTGGAATTGGCAGGGCCCAGCCCCAGCAGTTGCAGTCATTTGGAGAGTGAATCAGCAAATGAAAAATTTTTTTCTGTCTCTCCCTCTCTCTAACTCTCTAAATAAATAAATAGATCTTTTTACAACTTTAAGGAGAGTTTAAAGAAACCCTAAAGCAAAATATGTATATATACATATTCATACATCAAATATTCATAAAATATGACTACATTCTAGTATTATAGAATGCACTTCCAGCTATTTGGAAGTAAAAATCAATGATATTTGTAATCTTTCTTCCCCGTTGTCTTTCAGTCTGTAGAAGTGAAGATTCTGAGAAAACAGTTGCAGAAATGTGATTGTGGGGAGCAACTGAGACTAGACTAAGTTACTGGAATTAAGACTTATTCTATGCATCTGCTCTCCCACAATATGGTGCTGGGGAGGAATAAACTTCTACGCAGCTGCCTCTCGCCAACTTGACTGATGAGCTGCAGGAGCTGATCCTGCTCCTGAGTGGAGGAGAGCAGCGTGCTCGGCGTGTGGGTAGCAGAGTTGGGATTGGTGGAAGAGGACTATAAAGGAGGAGAGAGACAACATGCACCAGGAACATCTGAAGGAACACCTGAGGAACATCTGAGCAGCCCCCGAGAGCTGGCCAGCGGTGTGCCGCTCCCCCGCGGAAGTGGGGAAAGTGGCAGGGGGAACCGCCCTTCCACGGAGGTGGAGGGGCCGGCAGCCAACCCGGGAAGAACCAGCAGCAAACCCGGGAAGGGCCGAGCAGACAAAAGCACAGCGCAGGGTCTAGTGTTGTTCCTCCGCGTAGAGGGGGAGCGACATGTGATGAATGTCTAGGTAGAAGTGCGAAAGAAATGCTAGAATATGGCTGAGAATGTGGCCTCAGGACAATTGGACCATTAACAGTTCTCTGAAATGAGTGGCATGCAAGACGAATGGAAGATGAATGGAATGCTGTCAGATAGATAGAGTGAGGCATATTGAGAGAAGAAATCACCAGAAAATGCACAGATGTACACTTGTGACTGCAAATGGTTCATTATGGCATCTACAGGTCCATACAACACAAAGGCTCAAATCCAAAGACTTATCTTGGAGAGTGACAGCAGAAGCTGGGAAAGTGGTGTGCTGGGATCAGATCCTGAACCAAGATGATGAATGCACAAAAATACATTTTATTCCTTTTTGCTGCCATTTTGGAACATCTCCAGATTACACACATATGTGTATAGATACTTAAATATAAATGTATATAAATTTTATATCTATATACTTAGAAAAATTTATAAATGTGTGTATGTATGCATATATATAGATAATATAGTATATATAATTATACTGAAAGGCATGTTCCAAGTTTATCAATTAAAGCATATATGCAAAAGAATGCACTAATAATTATTTTCTTTAATCTTTTTAATTTTTGGCTGTTTTCTCTCAGTAGTATTTACATTTTGATTCCTCCTGAGCTATCTTACACTTTCTTATTTTATTTTGCATATTAATTGCATCTTAAATGACTCTTAGAGTCATTTAAGAGTTTCTTCCTTATTATTTTTAGTCTTGTTGAGAAGTGATTCTCATCCATTGCAAGACCTGACACACAGTACGGCGCCATGTCCTCTATTTCCATAGCTATGTCATGCCATGTTGCCTGCCAGCAATTGAATTGTGTCTTGATGCCTCATAAACCCCCAGGAGAAGACTTCTTTGAGGATTTGGTATCACATGGCTTGTGTGGGGTGTGTGCTCATCAGAGTGTTCTTTTTGACCCATCAATTCATACCTTACAGGATCATCTATAGGAATAGGAATCCTGATATGCTCTGCAAGTGACTGTCAGATCGCTGTCGATAGCTGCATTTTGTCAAAGAGTCAGAGTAATAGATAAATAAAAAATAGCTTTATGTAAAAGTATACGAGTTATCTAAATCCCTTTGTTCCTTATTGGATGATCATGGGCGTATCATCACCATTTTATTCTCCAAAATACTAGCTCAATTGCACTTACAGTTCCTCTTTCATAGCTAAGCTGCATTTTGTGCCACTCCTAATCTGAATTTGAAAGATATCTTTAGTTTCCTTAAGCAGGTTATTGAGTTTTCTAAAATAAGATAACTGTCTGGTTTTTTGAGAAATTGAGAGCCTCTTCAAGATAGACTCTTCCATCCCTTTCCTTTGAAGGTAATCATTTGTTGGAAACAGTGAGCCAAGAACAAAAGAGTCACTGAGACATGACTAAAGCTTAGAGAATTTGTTCAGAAAAGTTCCCCAAATGCACATTTTTTGGAGGCAATGATTTAAGCCTTTGACACACTATCTTTCTGGTCCCCACACATAGGACCATCTGATTATGCCTATTCATAAATGGCTGAATTAATCTCAATCCTTTAAAAAGTTATTTTGTCTGTAGTCAAGAATGTGTTGCTTATTTACTGTCACTCCTAGAAGGTTCAATTTCTCTGGTAGTAACTGATAAAGAAGGGGATTTCTCAAAGTCAATCTCTCAAAATAAAGAACTTAAATCCATTTAACATACCTCTGGGAAGCAGATCTGCATTACCCTAGTCCATGACTTCTCTGGCAATAATAAGGTGTAAGAGAGTACACAGTCACTAGTGATTTCTGTAAGTGATACAGTGAGGGGACAGAGACAATGAGGCAAAAACAAAATGGGACCTGGGATTAAGGGATCTTCCACTCAGCCATGTGAAGAACGTTGAAAATTAATGTGGTATTGTTTAGCAAGCAGCTGTCAAGTTATTGTAATTTGCAAAATGATTTTTTTTTCTCTTCTCTTCTCCTTTACTGCAGGCATATTAGAAATGGCTTCATTTCTGAGAGATGACAAAGTTAATCCTGTTTTGAGTTATATTGGATGAAAATGGCATTTTGAGCTTGCTTTGCATTTACTGAATAAGCCATTGAGTCCAACATTTACTGAGTGCCATTAAGTGGAAGACACAGTGTTAGACATTAAGGTTATAAAGGTAAGTTAAGAATAATCATTTCCATCAAGATATGGAATGTTTGTTGGGAGCTACAAACAGAGCAGAGCATTGTAATTTTCTCTTTTTGTAAATATAGGAGTAGAGATAAGCAAGGGTGATGGACAAGACTCTGGTCAATCTAATGAATTTCTCCAAAGTGAAAGAGCATTGGCCTGGAGGCAGAGCTAAGTCAAACCCACAGGAAGGAGTCTTTGTTCTAAAGAAGGTGCCATGTCACTGCTGGGTTTTTTGAGGCTCTTTCAGAAAACACTCAGAGACAATCTATCCATGGAAACATTTCCCTCTATTGTAACTAGACACTAATGTACACAAGGTACTTCAAAAAGTTCATGGTAAAATGGAATTAAAAGATATTTATTTTGAGGCATAAAAATTGGAAATCTAGGCATAGCTTTTTTCATAATATCCATTTTCCATGAACTTTACTTTGACCTACTCTTCTACATAAATTTCAAAAGTGTTTGCACCAAAATGAACTCATCTTTTAGTTCCACTTTCCATGAACTTTTTGAAGTCCACTTATGTTAAAATAACTGAGATATATATCCACATGAGCAGGGGTACTGTGTTTTCAAATCCCAACACCTAGCAGGGTGTGGTATCTTGTATAAACAAAGTAAATATTTGAACAATTGAATCAGAAAATGACAGAAATTTAATTCTACCTAAAATAAGATCTTGAGAACGTTGTTAATACTACAATGTTCAAGTGCAAAAAATCACAAAATTAGGGCTATTATTATGACACAAAATAGCAATTCAGATGTTAGGGTGGTTTTACACACTATGGGTCCAACATGGGCAAGGAGAAACTGTCCAGGTTTTGTTCATCGTAAGTGTAGAAATATCTAATTTATAAGAGGCAGTGATTTTTTGATGTGGCAGAGTCAGCTGTTGAGATGACGTGTGAAAAACAAAACAAACCAAACACCTTTCCTAATCATTCCATGCCACCTACTTTTATGCCAAAGAATGCCAGAACCACAATTCCTTTAAATTTCAATGAATTTTTACCTATATTGCTTTATCAATAAAAACTTTTTTATTATAAGAAATGTACTGCACCCCCAAATGGCAACCATGATGTATATTTTAATCTTTTTGAAAGATGTATTTATTTGAAAGACAGAGTGACAGAGAGAGAGAGAGGCAGATTTTATACACACACACACACACACACACACACACATATGGAAGCAAGGGCCAGCCTGGAACAAGTTGATGTCAGGATGCTAGAACTGCAACTGGGCGTCCCACATGAGTGGCAGGGATGCAAGTATCCAGGTACCTGGATTATCACCTGCTGCTTTCTCCGGTGCATTGGCAGGGATCTAGATTGGAAGCAGAGCAGCTGGGACGTGAATCTGCACTCTGATGCTGGATGCCTGCAATGCAAGTGGTGGCTTAACCCATTGTGCCACAATGTCAGCCTCTATGATGTTTATTTTGATAAATCACATGCATTCTGTATCTGAGAGGTCTACCCTGAGTGAAGCATATATCAGAAAATTACCCCGGTTCCCTTTTGTTGGAGACTTGCCAACTGTCGGGTAATTAGGGACTGACCGATAGCTATAGTCTCGGTTTGGTCCATTATGTTTTATTCTTTCTGCAGTCAAAAGACTTGTCATTTAAACAAAACTGTCATCACACGATAGTGGATATGATTATGCCATCCAAGACACCCACTCAGTGGCATCACACTTATCCGTCTCTCTGGACACAGAAACAAAGATGCTTTAGAAAACATTTTTCCCATTTCCGTAGATTTTCAAAGTTGGAGTTTCACTTTTGGCCGTCTATTTTGTTTCTAATTTTTTCAGCTTGGGTGAACAAACTATAGAGGGGAAGGAGAGAATTCAAATACTCTATTCTCACCCTTAGACATAAATGACATGGGCAATAAATGTAGATCTGCCACTTTTTATAGCTTCTGATTAAACACTCAGTCTTTCTAAGTTGCATTTCACTTATCTGTAAAGACTTGTGTATTCTTCATTCTTACATCCATTTCTTTTCAACAAGTGTGTGGATATACTGAAAATATAATATGTACCCACATAGGTGCTAGGATCACAATCATAAAGAGAAAGACAATCAATCATGAAGCTTAGTATGCTCCGTGTTTACTGAAAAGCTTTCATATTATAAACATGTATTTTGGAGACTTTAAACTAGTGAGAAACATGCCTGTAAGAAAATGACCTTTGAATGGCGATCTAAAGTCTAAAGATAAGTTAACTAGCTGAAGCAGGAAAGAAAAATTTCAAGTGAAAGGAAAAATCTCATTTGCAAGGGCCCTGTAGTGTGAAAGTTTGAAAAAAAAAAAAAAGGCCAGTGTGAATTTTACAGAGAGGAGAAAGACTATTGCTGTATCAGGACTTTCATGTGATCTTTCATGTGCATATGAACACCTAAGAATTTTCTTTTACATTCAGTTTCCAACTCAGCATGTTTGAAGTGAAACCTGAGATCTTGCTTTTCCAAAACAGACTTCCCAAGTATTATCAGTATTTTTGGCCCATAGACCTCACTTAGAGTAGCAAAGTCCTAATTGTAGTTTGGTTTCTGCTATTCTGGTTAATAGAAGGTAAGTATACTATTTATTTTCACATTACTTAGGAAAGAGTGAAGAGAGAATGTCAGGCATATCAATACAACGGCCGTGTCATTCTCTTATTTCCTTCTCCTCTCACTTTTTCCCAGTTTTTACTACTAACCCCTTTCTAAAACATATGTACAGGAAAAAGTATTTTGCTCTACTGTAAATAACTATTCTCTACACAAAAGAAGTGGGATATGATTGGCTTGGCTAGGGTCTCAAACCAAGAGTTTGAGTCAGTGTCTTTAGGTATGGTTAAGTTATTGGCTCATCTGTTGTAAAGAGGTTACCCAGGTTAAGGATACATATATCGGGGCCGGCGCCATGGCGCACTAGGTTAATCCTCCGCCTGCAGTGCTGGCATCCCATAGGGGTGCTGGGTTCTAGTCTCGGTTGCTCCTCTTCCAGTCCAGCTCTCTGCTGTGGCCCGGGAGTGCAGTGGAGGATGGCCTAAGTGCTTGGGTCCCTGCACTCGCATGGGAGACCAGGAAGAAGCACCTGGCTCCTGGCTTCAGATTGGCATAGCTCCGGCCATTACAGCCATTTGGAGAGTGAGCCAACAGAAGGAAGACCTTTCTCTCTGTCTCTCTTTCACTGTCTGTAGCTCTACCTGTCAAATAAATAAATAAAAATCTTTAAAAAAAAAAGGATGTGTGTATCAAGATGTAATATTGGAGGAGGAGTAAGTCTGAGTTTAACCATGACTCCAGCTTTGTTTCTCCCAAATATATTTAAAAAATGAAGCCATGATTCAAGAGTTTTGAGTAACTGGACAAGGAACAGAAAGAGGTGTCATTTACCCTTGAATAATTTATTTATGCATTAACTTGAGTAAATTAGCAGTTTAAAAAGGGAAGAAAGAAAATTACAAATGCAATACTAGTAATAATAACTCCTCACAGTGTATGTTGGAAATAAGTGATTAGAGTCTACCTTTAGGTGCACCAATTCTACAAATAATTTCTGTGGTATCTCAGAATAGTCAGTGAAGGTCAACATTACAGGTGATCTGAGATCTCATCATAAGCTCTGCAGGTAGATGGAGACTTTTTATGAAACCACAGATTCTTTGTTTAGTAGGTACCTTTCAGTGGAATGAAAGTTGAAAATGAAGAAGCCAACATAATAATGTGATATTAAGGAGTGTATGTTGTCATAATAGGTAGGCCCCTGCTTGGGATGCCCACATCCCATGTTGGAGACTATAGGCTTGAGTCCCAGCTCTTCCCCCAATTCCAATTCCCTGCTAATGTATAGCTTGGGAATAAGTAAGTGATGTATTGCTGACATAGTTGTATCCCAGCTGCCTAGGTAGAAGACCAAGATGGGGTTTCCAGTTCCCAGATTCAGGTTGGCTCTGCATGGGTTATCGTGGGCATTTGGAGAATGAACTAATGGACAGAAGGTCTCTGTCTCTTGCTAATTCTCTATATCTTTGCCTTTCAAATAAATAAATAAAAATTAAAAAGAAGAAAAATGTATCCAGGTAGTTTTGATATGATTAAGATGGTTGAAAACAATCCAACAACACATTATAAAACAGCACAAGCTTCAGTTATCTCACGTGACCCTGCAGACACCATTGGTTCATCTACTATACACTTTAAGTGTATTCCACGAATATCCTTGACTTTAAGATGTTTACCTTCTACCGGCAAGGACAATAATGGTTATGATCAATTTACATAAAAGTTTGAGTGATGGGAAACATTCCAAACTTGCCTATGTGAGTCAGAAAGATCTTTATAGGAGTGAAAGCATATCAGAAATTTCTTCCTAGGCTTAGAGAATTAGTGGGGGATTATACAGTGGCTGGAATCTAAAGATAGAACGAAGAGCCATTTACAATTATCTCACATATTCTCCAAGAATTTATTGGTAGGTCCCAATAACCGTATATGAGTATCTGTGTGTGAGTCAAAATAGGATACAAGATCAGGAATAAATTCTGTTGAGAGGAGATTAGCCTAGAGAGGTAGGAGGGAGATGTCACAGACACACATTATTTGCCCTTTAGTTTTATACCTGTTCTCACTTAATGGTCAGGACAACCCTGCAGATAGCAAAAGAAGTATTGGGCAGATTGTTAGCACTTAATTGATATTGATATTAATGGAGTCCTATTGGCACTAAAAGGCAGAATGGTGTGTGTGTGTGTGTGTGTGTGTGTTTGTGTGTGTGTAAATAAGGGTTGGCAAAACTTTCTACAAGGAAAAAAAGATGGAAAAGAAGTATCTTTATTACTAGATTTTCAGCATTGAGGATGCATAACCAGTGAAAATCCACAAATATTTTAATGAAGATTTAGTAAGAAAAATATTATTTTATTAATTAAAACATTTTAAAATGTTGCGGAAAGCTTCAAATACCAGGCATTGTTGGTAAATATTTTAGAGTAAAGATCCTATTTGATTCCATAAGTACTCACACTTCCAGATCAATGTAGTCTCACTGCAATTCCACTAGGAAATTATTGTTTAAAGGTTATGAGTGAAGAATTGTGTGTGTGTGTAGTTTGGTGATTAGATAATTGGACAGTTTACAATGTTAAGCAGCAGTAACTATAACACAGGTGATTGTAGTAACAGCCTTCTACAAAACATAAATGTCAGTTTAGCTTCTTTTTTAAAAAAACATTTAAAATGCAGAGTGACAGAGAAAGAGGGAAGGAGAGAATGTGAGAGATGGGGATAGAGAGAGAGAGACAGAGGTAGAGATCATCCATTTGCAGAGTCACTCTCCATATGGCTGCAATGGCCAGGAGTAGGCCAGGATGAAGCTATGAGTCAGAAACTCTATCCAGGTCACCTGTATGCAGGGCAGGCCTCCAAACACTTGGGCCATTTATCTGCTGCCTGCCCAGGTGCATTAGCAAGAGGCTGGATGGGAAGTGGAGCAGCTGGGACTGGAACCGGGACTCTAATATGGGATGCCAGTATTTCAAGTGATGTCTTTACTCACTGTACCACAACTCTGGGCCCTAGTCATTCTACCTTCTTTAAGTCAGATCTCATGCTATAAAATGCAGGGGGAGAAGGAAGAACATACAAGATAGCAATTACCTGTTTTCTTTATTGTTTAGTTCACGCTTCTCATTAGGAGACTGCTAGTGGTCTACATATTGTTGTTGAACGAATGTTGTAACTGTGACATATATCTACTGAAATTTACTGAAATTCTTTTCTTGAATGTTGTGTCTGTCTAAAAAACAAAACCATATAAAAAGAAATATCCACACACAGGCACCCATACAAAATGAGATCATGGTCTAGTTTAAATGGCAAAGCTAGGAGGGAACAGAAGAAGGGAACAGAGAGGGAAGATAGTTCTCAATTTACTATGGTTCAGCTTAGTTTTTCAACTTTATGATGGTGTAAAAATGTCCCCATAAAGTCATTCTGTTCTTCACTTTTAATACTCCATAATTACACAAGATAGGCAACACTTAATTATAAAAAGGCTTTGTGTTAGATGATTTCACTTAACTCTAAATGTTCTGAACACATTTAAGGCAGGCTACACTAAGCTATGATTTTTGGCAAATTAGGTGAATCAAATGCACTTTCCATTGGCAGCATTTTTAACTTTAGGAGAGATTTTCTGAAATGTAAACCCATTATAAGTAGAGGAGCAGGGCCAGCTCCATGGCGCAGTAGGTTAATCCTCTGCCTGCACCGCTGGCATCCCATATGGCCACTGGTTCGAGTCCTGGCTGCCCTTCTTCCAATCCAGCTCTCTGCGATGGCCTGGGAAAACAGTAGAAGGTGGCTTAAGTCCTTGGGCCCCTGCACCCTCTTGGGACCGGGAAGAAGCTCCTGGTTTCTGGCTTCGGATTGGCGTAGCTCTGGCCGTTGCGGCCATCTGGGGAGTGAACTAATGGAAGGAAGACCTTTCTCTCTGTCTTTCTCTCTCTCTGTCTGTAACTCTACCTCTCAAATAAGTAAATAAAATCTTAAAAATAGAATAAAAATAAGTAGAAGAGCAGATGCTATTTCTTAAGATACAAATGTCTTTTGATATGAAGGAAAAAACAACACATAGAGAGTGGAGGAGAAATAGGCTAATGAGGCTCATTTTGCTTTCCTTAGAAGTTATTAGTATCTACTAAGAACTCAACACATCATGGTACTTCCACAATTCTATAAATCTACAGTTTGTTGAGAAAAGGGAAGTTTTGTATACACATTCGTGTCAATGTGATATGCACTTCATGACTGTTACAGTTATACAAAACCTGATAGATGCTTAGGAAACATTTATTGACTGCTTAATTAAAATAATGTAATTGTCAGAAGGAGAAAGGTAGTTGTGTCTTTGAATAGGCAATGATGTGTTTTTTCCTCTTTTTCTTTTTTTGTCCTTTTTCTGTAGCATCTCATCTAACTTCTTCTTTCATCTTAAAGAATTCTGTTCAACTCCAAAGGTAAATTGCAGAAATGTATGTGTGCATACATGTCTGTGTGCATCTGTATGTACGAGTTTGTACCTATATAAATATCTGTACTGGTGAATACATATATATATTCTTGTGTATTTATGTACGTATTAATGTGTACGTGTTTATAAGTGGTGTGTGTGCACATAGATATGTAACTGTGTGTAATTGTATCTGTATATGTGAATTTTTTCTGCCTATGTTTCCAGCAATGTGTGTGTATGTGTACATGTTTATATATACATGAGCTTGTATCTGCTTCTCCATATGTATTTGTGTACCTATGCAGACATCTGTGTTTCTTCGGGTGTATATGTCTGTCTGTATTATGAATTTGTATGTTTGTGTATAGATGTTTATCTGTACATGTATCTACTTATGTAAGTTTGTGCATCCCTACACATCCACTGTTAAACATATTTGCTACTTTCTAAATAAATGAAACTGTTGCTTGCAGAAAAAAAATAAGCTATTTAGAATCTAATGTTCTGGAAAAATTCATATTACAAGACATCTGCTTATACCAAATTCTATTTTGTCTACATTTAGCCACAGGTGTTAAAAAAATGATAAGCACTTAGAGAGCAGACAAACCAAAAACTGTAATAGCATTCTTACTCAACTCTCACAGTGAATGAAAGTATAAGCAATGCGAAAATGTCAGTCCAAGATTTTCCTAAGTGAGTTCTTGTTGATGTAAACAGGACTCATTTCTTGTAGAATGTGCTGACACAGGACACACTGTAAAAGTTTATAGTGCAAAGAATCTGCTTACCTGATATTAATTTACTTTTAACAGTTTAATATAATATTGATTGAATTAGCATTTGGATTAATGGCCTTTAAATTCAAAGGGTCTGAAGCAGTAGTCTCTCTCTCTCTCTCTCTTTTTTTTTTTTTGACAGGCAGAGTTAGACAGTGAGAGAGAGAGAGAGAGACAAAGAGAAAGGTCTTCCTTTTTCCGTTGGTTCACCCCTCAAGTGGCCGCTATGGCCGGTGCCTTGTGGCCGGCACGCTGCACTGATCCAAAGCCAGGAGCCAGGTGCTTTCTTCTGGTCTCCCATGCGGGTGCAGGAGCCCAAGGACCTGGGCCATTCTCCACTACTCTCCCGGGCCACAGCAGATAGCTGGACTGGAAGAGGAGCAACCGGAACAGAATCTGGCGCCCCAACCGGGACTAGAACCCTGGGTGCTGGCGCCGCAGTTGGAGGATTAGCTTAGTGAGCCCCGGCACTGCCAAAGCAGTAGTTTCTTAATATAGAATGATAACTGAAAAGTCAAAAAGTTTGAATATCAGTTTTCTAAGTATGTATACCTATCTATCTCACATATCATTACATACTCACAGTATGTGCTAGTATTAATTCATACTATGTAAGGATATAAATTAAATATGCAATTTAGGTGCTATACAGGTATACATGTCACACATAAACACACACACTCATGTATATATGTCACAAGCACACATATATAAAATACATCAAATTAGATTAATGTGAAGATCTCAGAGAGCACTTGTTGAGTGCCTGATGAATGCCAGATGTTATGCTTGGCACAGAATAAGAAAATGAAAACCATGTTCCCAGAACTTAAGGGACCCAGCTTTAAATGGGAACAGGGCTGGCTATACCTTTTTTTAGGTCCTGCTTAAAAAATGAAGGACGTTAGATTTTTGTTCAAAAGGCAGAAAAAGCGCCATTAAAAGTGCATGAAATGTTTCCTCTTCCTCCATATTTTCTCCCTCTCCACTTATATTGCCTTTTTTAAAATTTGCTGGTACATGCTATTATAAATAAAGGCAATTAAAATTGTACATTATTAGTGTTAATGTTACCATTGGTCTTTCTATCACACAATGATAGAGCATTTAACCCTTTTGCAGAATCAGTGACGTTGCACACTGTCTCTGCATGGTTCATCTTTGGAGGGTGCCTTGAGTTAATCAGAGCAGACAAACACAAGCCAAGCTCAGAAAGGCTGGAAGGACAGGAGCGGGTATTTAGCTTAGTGGTTAAGGTGCCTGTGTCCCTTATTGGAGTTCTGGGTTTGATGGCTGGCTCTGGCTGCTGTCTCCAGTTTCTGCTTAATGCAGACTCTGGGAAAAGGTGGTGAATTAAGTAATTGCGTCCATGCCAAGCACAATAATGATGTGGTTTGAGTCCTGGCTCCTGGCTCCACCCCTGGACCAACTGTGGCTATTGTCATTTCAGAAGTGGAGTAGTGCGTGGGAGCTCTGACTGCTCTGTCCCTCTCAAAAAAACATAATGAGCTCTTCAATGAGAAACATAACAGGAACAGATACACTGTACAGTCTCATAATGTCAAAATCCTTCATTGATATTCAGCAGCATCAGTCATTCATAGAATATTGATGAATGATTGATGGAAGAATGGAGCATGCCTGTTACTAGAGTCTTTGCTTTTTGAGATTTCTCTGATTAGCTTTCATTGGTGCATATTATTCATGCTTTTAGGTAACTAGTTAAATCCAACTTGACAACGTGTGGTTAGACTGTTATCACAATAGATATGTGCCTGGGTGCCCCAGATAAAGTCTGCTTATTGAGTATAGACATATATTTTAAAAATTCCTATGGCCTTTGTGTTTGATTGTTCAGGAAGAGAGTCTGTCAACTTGAAGTATCCACATAGAGAAACAACCATTCTTTTTCTCTCTCATCCAGCTTGTTCACAAAGATGAGATTATAGGTCTGAAGTAGGGATTAAAAATAAAGTCAGAAATATTTACAAGACACATTCTTTGTCGCAGACTCATGACAAAAGATGCGACTTCAGGCAGTTACTATGAAATCTGCTTTCCTATTAGGGAGTCCCTAATTTTTCTTTATCCTGTCACTTCATAAAGCTGTCTTCTTTCCTGGCATTCCCAAAGTAACATGTGTTCTTCCTGCTTTATACATATCTGAAATCCTATATTCATTTGTCACAGTGATTGTAAATATATTTGATTATGTGTGTATGTTAAACTAAGTTTAATTTAGTATTGTCTTCAAAACTAAATTACTCAGAGAAGATGGGCTGTGTTATTCTTTTTCCCACTGATACAAGTTACCAGCATTGATTTTTTTGTTGTTTTTAGAACCTTCTCAGTATGTGTTATATTAAATTAAAATCAATTAAATTAATTAGTCCCAATAATTCACCATGACTTTAACATCATACAATGAAATTATTTTTCAAAAACTGGCCTATTAAATGCTTTTTCTTAAGGTATAGCTTAGGTTACAGATTCACAGCCTCTGAGTTATAGACCACTTTATCCAGGTAAGGAGAATGGGAGGAGATCATTTAGGGATGGGTGTAGGTTTTAAAAAGGATCTGATAATACATAAACTTTATTAACAGTTCTTTAATGGTGAATAGTAAATTTTAACCAATATTTTATCAGAGTCTTGAAACTTGGACTTTATAGAAAAATCTCCTCATTTCTAAAAGAGTGAGGAATCTATGACTTGTTAGAAATACAAAAAAAAAAGTCTTTTTTTTAACTTTTATTTAATGAATATAAATTTCCAAAGTACGACCTATGGATTACAATGGCTTCCCCCCCATACCGTCCCTCCCACCCACAACCCTCCCCCCTCCCACTCCCTCTCCCCTTCCATTCACATAAAAAAAATATCTTTTTACATTTGGGGTGGGTGGGGCTAGTCCCTAGGGACACATGAGAGACTTGTATCTGTCCTGTTAAGGAATTCTACTGCACTACAACATTTGCCTGTTTTATTGTCACTATCCTCATTTTTTTTTACTAGTTTAACCACATTTTAATTATTTATTTGACAGAAAAAGAGACAGAGAAAGGGAGAGCTCCCATCTGCTGGTTAACACCTCAGATATCCACAATGACCTGGACTAAAACCCGGAGCCAGGAATGAAATCCAGGTCTACCATGTGAGTGGCAAGATCCTCATTACTTGAACCATCACCACTACCTTCCAGGGTCTTCATTATCAGGAAGTCAGGAATTGGAGTCAGGAGTTGGAGCTGAGAACTGAACCCAGGTACTTCCATGTGGGATGTGGGTATTGTAACCACTAAACTAAATGCTTGATCCTGTAACAACTTTTCAAGTAAGCAGTAATTTATTGAGCACTTGCAAAGTATAAGCAGAACATGTGACAATGAACATACATAAATTTTCATCCTCAAAACAATTCTGTCTGGAAAATATTCTTATCTATATTTTGTAAAATAGGAAGTGAGGCTGCCAGGGAGTCTCAGGTTTCCAGAGTCTTTCATTAGCAGAGCCGAGGATTCAATCCAGGTCACTCTGACTGTAAAGCCATTGTTCTTTCTCCCTAACATGTTTCTTAAAATGTAGCATCTGCTGGCTGGCAGCGTTTGCAAGGACTTCAAGCTGATTGGACTGGACACCAGGTTTTAACATTGGGCAACATTTCCTGTGGCTATGACTTGGGCCTTGGAGCTGCAGCATATATGTTTAAGTGTGTGACATCAAGGTTCTATTTTCAGACATTTAAGCTGATTGGGACTTTCTTAGTCTTTGTTTATTTTGGCAATTCATTTAATCTTTATATATTCTAAGAAAATGTCAATTTTAGCTCCAGTGCAAATGCTGCACTCTGATGTAAACTCCAGAGCTGAACTTGAACAAACTTAATGCATTCCATTTTGTAATGTAATAACCAAGTTTAAATCCGACTGCTCTAGGAAACGACCAAGAATGTAAGGGCGATTTAAAGCCTAATGATCATATTCGCTGCTACTGATGGTGATGATGATGTCTGCTGCTTAAAATGACTGTAGCCAAGACATGCAAAGCAATCAATTATGAGCTCCTAACATAAATAAATAAATAAAAAAGAAGAGGAGAATGTTATTTCATTCAGGAAATACCTTCCTCATTTCCCATAATAAAAAAAAAAATTCAATGGTAGTATTTCTGTTTCCATCTTCGCTGGCTCAGATCCCAAATCAAGAAACACAAAGTTTATAACTCTTCATCTGTGATATATTGATTCTAGGTATTTAAGAAATATTTCTTAGCTTCTGCTTTTCTTGGTTATGGGCTTGCTGCAGGAGGCAGCTTAAATTTAGGGTTAACAGCAAAGGTATTGCAAAAGAATGAGCCATGAATCAGGAGCCTACCTCTCTATAATTGTGGAATACACTTGACCTTGTCACTGTTTGAACTATTACTCCATCACCCTAAGAGGGGATGAAAAGAATGCCTATCTCACAGAGACTGTTTTGAGTATTAAACAAGGTAATATATGTGAAACAGTAAGTCCAGAAGTTGCCATATATTATGTTCTTAGTAATTTAAGTTATTTTAATAAACCATTATAGATTATAGATTTTAGAACAAGGGACTGGTGACTTCATTTCTAAAGATAATTGATTTAGAGGTCTAGACTGGAGAGAGTTGGTCAGCATGCTAGGAGCAGAAAGAGGTGGTGATGGTTCTGCAGCATAACATGCAGAGTGTTTCTGTGAAACTGGTGACAAGGTAACTTCTTAGAAGGAAAAAAAAAAAAAAGAGAGAGAGACCTGGCATTGATTAATTGATCTGTAAGAGTCAGTGCTATACTCTGTGGTGCACAATTATTAATTCATGTATCCATATTTGAAGCTCTGAGAATTAACCAGGAAGCAATAGCCAGAAAAGTTGGAGTGGGCCATTTATTTTAAGGGGATCACAAGTTATAGTGAAAGTAACAGTTTGAGTCCATAACCTTTACTTGCTCTAACAGTTGGAACAGGTCATTTTATGTACAAGTATCTCTACTTTTGCATCTATAAAATATGGGTAATACTGCTTAGGGGACAATTAGAAGAGCATTTGTATAATATTGGAATTTATACAGTAATTTTTTAGACATTGTAACATAATTTATTCTCAATTTTTTTCTCCTCCCACATCACCAGATTTCCTTCCAGTAAGGAAATCTGTCTCTCTCTGTAACTCTGCCTTTCGAATAAATAAATCTTTTTTTTAAAAAAAAGAGAAAGGTCCAGCCTTAAAACTTTAAAAAAGAAGCTGATATTCTCACCTCCTCACTAATTGCTAGAGTTGCTACAACTCATCTGTACAAATACTTGAGTTTATTTTTTGTGTCTTATAAAAAAAGTCCATTTACTTTGGTTTACTTTGCAAGTGAGTCCTCTTGTACTCTATTGCATGAACTTTCATTATACTTTAAGATATATTGGCCGGCGCCGTGGCTCAATAGGCTAATCCTCCACCTGCGGCGCCGGCACTCCGGGTTCTAGTCCCGGTCGGGGCACCGGATTCTGTCCCGGTTGCCCCTCTTCCAGGCCAGCTCTCTGCTGTGGCCCAGGAGAGTAGTGGAGGATGGCCCAAGTCCTTGGGCCCTGCACCCGCATGGGAGACCAGGAGAAGCACCTGGCACCTGGCCCCTGGCTCCGGATCAGCACGGTGCACCGGCCGCAGCGCACCGGCCCTGGAGGCCATTGGAGGGTGAACCAATGGAAACGGAAGACCTTTCTCTCAATCTCTCTCTCTCTCTCACTGTCCACTCTGCCTGTCAAAAAAAAAAAAAAAAAAGATATGTTGTAATGTCCTCTCCTCCATAAGGCCTTCCTCAGCATTCCTCACCCCACCACAAGGTCTCCCAGATTTGGTCACTTGTTACTGTGATCACATAGCAATGTCCATTTACCTATTGGTACTCACATCCAATAATGTGTGTGTGCACATGCCTGTCTGCTTCTCCAGAGAGTAAACTTCCAGAAGTCAAGCCTTACTCTGTGTTTTTTTTTTTTTTTTTTTTCATATTTATAGTACCTGGTAGAACATCTGGCAAAGAGACAGCACTGAATGGATGCTAATTAATATAATAATATTAGCCCAATGGGTGGCTGGTTAGCTCAGTTGGTTACAGCATGGTGCTAATAATATTAGCCCATTGATATTGCTGCTATGATATGATGAAGATCGGAAATAAAGAAGAAATTTCCATTATGTTTCAAATAAAGTGTGAAAAAATTCTTACATACACACTATATGAGAAATAACAGCAGAGGCATATTATCAGTACATAACTTTCACAGCCTATCTGTGAGTCATAGCACTTCTTCAAAATGGATGCTGGATGTTTCTAGCTCTAAACGACTAAAAGGGTTTTGTAGTTTCATTTGGAATTAAACACCTTTCTCTCGTCTTCCTTCCCACTTTCACCATCAGTACACACAGTCACACCCTAAACTCAAATGCCTCCTGATCTAGTTCCTGCCTTTTAGTGTTTTCCTTAGGAGCATTTTGTCACGAGCAACCAAATCCAAGAACTTTACTCTCACTGTTCTTTCATACATTCACTTTACGTTTGGCCAGGTTATCCCCAGGACCGAGGAGTTGCCACGTGGTGGGCACACTGGCGCCAAATGGAGATGCAGTCAGTTGTTGCTAAGCTATCTCACTCTCCTTGGTAAGGTAGATTGGCCCTGGGCAGCTGAGAATATGTTTTGAACACTTGGCCAACAGCACTTGGATTCCCTAATGGCTCCATCTCGGTCTATAGCTAAGTGGACGTGAAATCAATACGCACTCGTGGAAAGCTGGCCCTGGTGAGATGCATTCTAAATAATGCAGCGTATAGTAACAATCGGATGGTGCATAATTCCCTCCATCTAAAACAAAATTGATTTTTGTCCTCTAACTACTATCCCTGCTCTGCAGAGGGATCTATTTTCATTTAAAGTTTCAAACTTTTCAGCCATGCACCATAAACAAACACTAAAAGATTTCATAATATTCTCAAGATTGTCCACTTTTAGCAGCGAAGAAGTGCCACTAAGAATGCTAAGGGCTAAGAAGTAATAAACCATCAAAAAGCTCCATTGCAAATGCTCTGAAAAATCCTTTTCCTTCCCTAGCTCAGCAGGATGCAGCTCTGCTTGCACTTCCAGGCCAGGATCCAAAAGGTTGCCTTTGGCCTTATCTGACCCCCTTTATTCCATGCCTGAGAGGGAAGAAGAAATACTCCGAAGATAGAATGAATGAACTAAATGGTCTGCTCTGGTCTCTACTCTCTCAATGTCTGCTGCTGGGAGAAAGAAAAGAAAAGAAAAGATTAGATTCTAAACCAGGGCTTCTTATTAATATGCATTTGGATCTCTTGGTGATAGTGATAAATTGCTGCTTCCATAGATTTGGGGTGAGGCCTGAAATTCTGCATTTCTAACAAGCTCCTAGGTGACACTGATGCTGCCAGTCCAAGGACCACATTTCTAGTCTTGTGTTGGGCAGAATTCTAAAGATGTCCCTCTCCCTCCAAGATTCATGGACCTTGGTTATTTAATCAAATAATCATCTAGTGACTCTGGGAAGGGAGTTTGCAATTGTAATTGAAGTCCAGTGTCAGTTTCAATTGACTTTAAGAGAGGGAGGTATATGTGCTGCCGAATCGAGCACTAAGAGGGGGAGGTTATCCTGGTAGATCTGATCTAATCTCATGGGACCTTTAAAAGGCAGAAAAGAAGGCTGGAGTCAAAGAAATGCAACACAGGAGAAAGGTTGACACACTGTTGTTGCTTTGAACATGGGGGAGACTAATCACAAAATGTTAAGGAGACTTCAGCTGGCATGAAATAGGGCCCTCCCATCCAACCTAGGACTGCAAGGAACTTGATTCCACCAAAACCTTGTATGGTCTTTGGAGGGAATGCATGCCCAGAACCTCCAAAAGAGAATGCAGCCTCGCTGGCACCTTGAGTTCTGTCTGGAGAGGCTCTAAGGAGGAAGCCCAGCGTAGTCTCTGAGCCCAAACTACAAACACACAGGTGCTATGACAGGAAAGGGAAATTGTTTTAAGATGTTCAATTTGTCATAATTTGTAGTGTGGCAGTAGAAAACTAATTCATCAGGAAGGTTCTAATTCAATAGAACCTACCAAAATCTTGCCATTCATGTGTGAGTAAGAAGTAAATTTAGATCACTGTCCTTGAATATGTAAGGATAGAATGGCTTTTAGGAAGAGAACAAAGAATTTGTAGTTGGAAATACACATATGACAGTCTC